TAGACTTGAAGCTCATAGCAAAAGCATGCAGTATTGAATTATTCCTAAGAAGTCAAATATACACTTTTTTTTCCTCTTACAGGTCAAATCCTGGAGTACTACAGCTCACAGAAAAGGGTGGTAAGGCAGGGCAGGTAAAGGAAGTAAGGAAGGTCTCAATGAGAATCTTGTGGCAATACCTAGTTTAGCAACATACTTAAGGGAAAATTAGGCAGGACTTGATTCCTGTTTTCCTAGGAAAAGACAGCATTTATGCCATTGGAATCTTTGAAAAGCAACTCAATTTCAATCATCACATTACCTAAAAATCTCAACATACCCATAGTCCAAGGATAGTAAATTCCTCTTTAAATAAGAAGAATCTTAAAGCAGAATGAACGGGAACTTTTGCCTGATTCTGCATTCTGCAAAGTTTTTCATAAGAACAGTGACATTTATCTTGAAATCTCAACAATGAAGTTTATAAAGGTCAAAGCTAGGAAAACGCACTTCTAGTGATCAGTTGTTCAGACACATAAAACTGATGCTTGATCAAATAACATTTCAAATCCTTAAAGAAACTTTTAATATAGCAATATGCCTCAAAGTACTTCATAATAATTCTGCAAATATAAAAAAATACTTATTTGTATGGGTTTTTTACTTCTACTTCTAGAAATGCTCAGGAAGTACACACATATTCAGAGTTTATGACAACCACCAGGAATTCTGACACTCAAAAAGCCAGCTCTCATGCAAGAGATGGCATGTATGGGTATCTGACTCCACAATTCTCTCTCTTCCCAGTGTATAAAATTAGCCCTCTGTCTTGAACCTGGTTTACTTCTTTTCTAATCATTTGCCAATATACTGTCCTGCCAAGCACCAAACTCCTGAGCAAATAGAAATTGATTTCAACATCCTCCTTGGGTATTCGCAAATGATTAAGACATAACCCCTACACAAAGTTCAGCAGTCAGGAACAGTGGGATTTAAAAGCCAACTTTTTGGTTTTTTTTAAATTATTTTGATTTATCAACACCAAATTTTTCTACTACAGTAAACAGACACAAAGATTCTTAAGAATCTCATAAGTCTAGAAAATGAATATTCTTAAATTTTTTTTTTTTTTTTTTTTTTTTGGCTAGGCAATGGGGTTAAGTGACTTGCCCAGGGTCACAAAGCTAGTAAGTGTCAAGTGTCACTGACCTGATTTGAACTCAGGTCCTCCTGATTCCAGGCCCAGTGCTCTATCCATTGCACCAACTAGCTGCCCCTGTTCTTAAATCATTAATGTGGTTCAACTAGCATTTAAAGGCCTATCATATGTAAAGATCTTGCCAGGAACACAAAGACAAAGAGCCTGGAAGAGCTTACGTTCTAACTGGGACATAATCTATACAAGGGGAAAAATAACTACAAAATATGTACACAAAGCAATAGAATATAACTTAAAGAGAGAATGTGAGCACTAACAACTACAATCAGGAAGGCCAAAGTGCTGTATTTCTGGGCTCACATAATTCGAGCTCTCTCTTGAGTGAGCATGACAATGCCTTCTCTGGCCTGTAGGAAAAAAAAAATTCTCCAACTTTATTTGTCTGTAGTCTGTTATAAAGAATCATCTCTGTCTACCAATTTAAAGCCTTAGTGACAGAAGCAGCGAATCAAAAGCATAGAGTTCTATTTCTGGCTCTATTTCAACATGCTTCGTGACTTCACACAAGATAGTTCTCTCTGTATTAATTTTTTTTTTCCCGTGAGGGGTAAAACCTGGCAGTGGATATATTTAAAACTTTTATGTTCTTAGGATAAAAGTGTCAGGCAAATACCAGTAATTATAAAGATGAAATCACTGCATGTAAAGGAGCAATCTTTATATGACTGAATCAGATAGTTTGGCTGTGTATTTTATTCATCAGGTTCAATGTGCAACATCTCCCCATACCTTACTCCCCCACACATACACATAAAATCCCTACGTAGCTCCTTCCCAAATCAGTATGTCCAGTCCTAACCTCATTTTGCGTCCTTCTTCATCATCAGACATGCTATATCTGATATGCTAGTCTTACACTGTTGTTGCACTTCTTCTATGTGCTCTGTCTCCCCTACTAGATTCCTTACGTCAAGGGCTTTGTCTTATACTTCCTCCATCTCCCCAACAGTGCCTAGCATTCTACCTTACGTGGAATAGCTCAGAAAATGTATGTTGGGCCATTACAGGATTAAAGGTGTTTCTGGGCTGGGCTCATCCTGGACCTGGCTAGAGCATAATATTCAAAGCATTCTTCCCTGAGTGAATCCAAAATTAAGTAGTGACTCTGAAAGCCATGAAACCTCTGGACAGGTTATGACTTTCATTCAAGAGCAGAGTGAAGGCTATCATCTTCAACCATTTCTTTTAAGCCCTTTAGGGTGCCCTAAGTGAGAGGGCTTCAAACTTAAAGCTACTTGGTGTGCATAATTTACAACTGCAATATGAAAGCAATGCAAAAAGGCTGTATTTTCCCAAAAAGTTTGTTGGAATCACAAACTATATCTTCATAACCACGGAAGACACTCACACCTGCTACACTGACAGGAATTTTAAATTTTTAGTGAATCAATGAGGCCATTCAATAACTGAATATATCCCATTTTAGGGTCCAAATAATAAATGTGAAAAAGCACCACGAAATACATTCCATTACTGTACATGGCTTAACCAGACAAATGTAAAAAGGTAGCTTGTTTTATACCTACATTAGCCAAGAAAAGTCACCCTCCTTAAAGATTCTACAACCAAACATGTACTACAATCATCTACAATTCAAACTAATTACAGAACCATGAATTTCAAATCATACTGTTCCCCAAGTCCTTGCACAGCACTTTACATATGGCCAACTGCTTAATATTTGCTAAAGTGAATTCTTCTCAGGTGAAAAGTAGCAACCCTAGCACAGAGTCTAAAACATAATAAATAATCACAATATACACTGACGATTACAACAGCTGTTATAAGCATATGTATGTGAAGGAAGATTTCAAATCCTTCCTGTTTGTTGTGTTGAAATATGCTAGACATGTCACATAATCACACCTCTATTCTATAAGGTAACAGACTGAATATGCACTGCTGCACAGAAACAGAAGAACAGAAATTTGTTTTTAATGAAATCCAGGATGCCCATATCAATATTTTCTAAACAAAAAATAAATTTAAGGCTGTAGCTACACAAATGTTTTACAATGGAATAAACTTATGCAAACAGGTTAAACGCTAGGTTCTCTGACTTAGCAAATACAACAAGGTAACTAGCAAATAAAGTTTAAACTATGGTCATTTCAAGGCCCTGGGCAAGCCTCTAATCTCTCTCGTCCAGCTTTCTTTCCCACTACTCTATGTTCCATTCAAAGTGAACTCAGTATTGCCTATCCTCTTTTCTCCCATTTTGCCACCAAGTCTTTGCTCATGCTGTCCCTACATTCATCTGTCTGTTAAAATCCCTTCCTTCCTTCAAGGCCATCTTGCCCATGAAACCTTTCTTGACTTCCACCAGGTGCAAAGTCATCTCATCTTTTTCCTCTCAAAATTTTTTCTCACAGCACTTTTACTGAACCTTAGCATATCTACGCTTCCTAATAGCACTATTACTTCAAGGTATGTGTGCGTGTGTGTGACATGTTCCAAGGCACTGCTTTTTTGCAGAGATATATACGTGTCTATATATCTCGACATCCCTATACAAAATATATCTTATCTAGCTATAGAAATAGCTAGATAAGATACATATCTTAACTACAGATATAGATAGAACACAGATAGATCTTTTATACAGATATATAGATATCTCTATATAGATATAGATAACTATATCTCTGCATGAAGCAGTACCTTGGAACACAGTAGGCACTTAGTAAAGACTGACTGACTTGATTAGGATAGACCTTTGCCAGACATTGCAATGGTTTTTCCTCCTGATGGTTATGTCTTTCAGGTACATCATAGTAAGACTAGAAAGCTGAATGTTAAGAGTAATCTGTTCCTTTGAAAACAATGAAATTCTCTCTTTCCAGTCAAGTTCACTGGATCTCAGCTACTGCTGCAATGGTGTAGCTCTATTGTTCCTAGAGTTCCAACGAAGCACTCCCAGGATTCTAGGGTCAGATTTATAACCTCAATAAATTCGTGTGACCTGTTATGCTATCTTGTCTCTAGAATTTTTACTTATTTTTTTCTTCCCCTCCACAAAGTAGCACTTCTTGAGTTAGCTTTTCTGAGCCTATTTCTACATTTCTAAGCAGACTACAATATCTCAAACAAATGATTTTCAAACTGTAAGATCCTAACTCCACCTAAGGCTTAAGGGTAAAATTTTCTGGTTCAAGTAGCCTGAGGTAGAAGTTTTGGTTTTGTTTTTTTTTTCCCCAATTAAAACAGAAGAAAACGTAAAGCAAATCATGTCGGATCTTCCAGTTCATCCATTTCTTTTATTCACTTAAGAGATTATAACATTTATATATGCAAGATTTGGTGTTTGGTGCTAAAAGAGAACAATGGAAAAAGACACAGTCCCTGAAGCTTACCACCTAGCTATTCTTCCCGCATACCCAATCAGTCAACAAGCACTTATTAAGCACCTACTATGTGCCACTATACTGTTGAGAACATGCTTCTATTTGCTTAACCTTTCACGGATCTACTGGAAAGTTTAAAACTGAAAGGCAACTTCAGTTGCTATTAGTTGTAATACTAAGGCAACTGGAATGACAGGCATCTTTATCAACTATTCACAAATGATGTACTAATGTACTTAAAAAAAAAAAACTCAAAGAATATAGTTTGTTTTAATAGTAAGAATATTTAAAGATGGTAAGACAGATTGCTCCTATTATGTCTATTAGCCTACTACAGTTAGTTTTAGTCAACCTGTCTTATATTTTTCAGGAAAAAAGCTGATAACAGCCTTGCAAATAGATTAAAAAAAAAAATGTATCTGCCCACCAAACTTGTCACCAGCCCTTCCCACACTTACCCATGTCATAGTGATGAAACATCTGATGGCAGTGAGCATCAATGGCCTGAAAAAATACAGGTTGTAGTTTCAATTTTTATTAAAAATTCTTACTTGCCAACTGCCTGAATTCTTTTAAGTCTACATTTTTTCATCCCATGTTTTGTGTTATTGATATGTAACAGCAATTCTTGGCTTAATTAGTAATTAGAGGTCATCTTATGAGGTGAACTGTGGTTGACAAGGAAGCTGTGTTGGGCTGGAGTCTATAGCAAAGAGCTAGAAGACAAAGTTAAACCAAAGATTCTAATTAAGTTCCCTGTCTGTAAAATGAAGGTGTTGCACTATATAGCCTCTAAGGTCTCTTCCAGCTCTAACATTATGATCCCATGAATAGGAACAAGAATTTGAACTGCGGGAACAAGGCTGAAAAGATAATGTCTCCTGGTGTGATCTAAGAGCATGGATCAAAATTGAAGAGAACTTCAGAATTAGGGAAGGCAAGGGAATTGTTTCGAAGTGGAAGTGGAAGGATTAGAAAGGGAGTGGAATAGAAAAAGGAAAGGTGAAGTTTAAGACACAGATGAAGGTGACAGAATCATAGGAAGATGACAGAAAGGTGTGAAGGGCAATGAGCCCCTGGTGCCCCTCCATAGCAAGTGAGACATGAAGAAGGTTTTGTGAGTGGAGAGGTCTTATAGAATTAGTAAGCTATTTGTCAAGTATAGCACACTCAACCCTTGGACAAAGAAACAAAATGGAACAAATTAACCACAACTCTGTCCCTTCTTCCATTCTAATCCTAGTGTGAGAAAGGATGGGAGGATGTTGTGATAGAATTCATACTTGCTGTGAATCATGGCTAAAGAATCTACTACCACACATTCATTTTCTACATGCTATAGATAAGATATTGAAAAAGAATTTAACATTTCCAAAGAATCCTATCTCTTCTCAGTCCTGACAACAGCTGTGACCTTATACTATTAAGCTCAGCACAAAACATAATACTCAACACAAAGTTATTTATTCAGAGTGAAATATGAGATCATAAAAAAAATCCATCTTTCCTTAGCTATAAAGGGGATCATCTCCCAAAGATCAAAGTATTTTACTTATGCATTAATTACCATTCCAATCCCCTTTGGGAAATCCCTAGTCCAAAAAGCCACTTCAAGCCCCTTCTCAAATTCCAACAAGAGGCATTCTAGAGAAACAGGTTGATGACTTTTTCAATCATGGGGGGGGGGTGGGTAATAAGGAAGAACTTTACTTTTATTTAGGCAAAAAGGCTCTATCTGAAAAAGTTTTGTGCTCCATTAAAGATGTCTGCATTCTTTCCATAATGTACAAATTAGTTTAGTACTAAAATTTTTTGAAAATTTCTAAAGCCTTTTAAGATTTATAAAATATTAAGTGAAAATATCCCTCCAATTAACTCAAGCTCAAAGAAATGAAATGACTTGCCTAACAAGGGTTACACAGCTAGCAAATGTCGGAGCAGAGATTTGAACCCGAGTCTTCTAATTACAAGTTCAAGTCTAGCACTCAGATATTCTGTGCTGTGGGCAGAATTGCCATGAAAACTTACTGCATTTAAGGCTGTGTCGATATTTCTGACTAAGAGGGCAAAACGGATTCAAAATCATGCTGCTGTTGACAGCAACTAAGATGCAGACAACAGAAAAAGAGGGAGCACAGGCAATAAACAAAGCACTTCCTCAGCGATGGCAGCTGAAGGCTCTTGAAGGAGGAGTTGGAGAGTAGCAGTAGCCAGAGACACAAAGGCCTACTCACTTTCTAAAGCCAAAGGCCAAACTTGCTAAGCATGTACACATTCACTTAGAACTTGGTATAGGAAGCAAAACCAGGATAGAGAGGAAATATTTTTTGTTAAACTCCTTCCTGCTGTATTAAGCCTATGGAAATTCACATTAATTGCTTAAAAATATGTGGTCCATGAAGAGATGTGAACAAAGGCAGCCTCTTCCCTTAAGCTAGTTCACCCACAAGTTAACATAACTGATTAACCCCATATTTAGTTACCACTATTAAGAGAAATGGAACTCAAGTTTCCTCATGAAATTGCAAATAACAGTGCTAGAACCTAGAAGAACCTTTTCTACCCAGAAGATATTTGTATTATCTACTGCTAACCTTTACTTATCTAAAACTTTAAAGCGATTCAGAAGAAAATTTCAAATAATGGCTCCTCTGTTGAAGTCTATCACTTTTCCTTTTAAATACTAAGGTTTATAAACATGAGCTGGATGACACACACCAGATGGGAATAAATGCAATTAAATTCCATGAGATGTTCTCTAATCAAGATCCCTTCCTGTTGGAAAAGGAGTTTGTATTAGATTACAGAAAAACTGATCGTGGGAATTAGAGGAAGGGGGTCAGGAAGAGGTACATGAGATATCTAAAAACAAATAAGGAGAGACTGATATCTCAGGTATTTTTTACATCTTTAAAGGAGAAGGAATGAAGTTAAAGAAAGGATTTCCATCCCTTAAGCGCTACCCCTATCATCACCTCTCTAAAGACAAACATAAATCTATTCAACATATGTGTAATGTGTACACACATGTCATCTTCCTCATATATCTTAAACCAGACCACAACAAAGAGTAAAAGGTCTGCTGATTAAAAAAGCCCTTTTTATTTATGCAGCCTTCCCCTCTGCAAGCAAGCTTTTCAACTCAACTGACCTTTCCACTTAATAGTAACTCAGTAATAATTCAGCAGTAACAGGACTATTCTAGTTCACACTGTGGCCTCTGACTTTTCAGAGCACATTTGTGCTCCACAATCTAGCAAAGAATGGAAAACTGTTCTGCATTGTTCTTTCCTATGGGTAATTTTAGTCTCTTTAACAAGTTTATAATTCACTGAACAAATATTTGCATGTAAGGTCCTATGAAAGGGGGCTTTTGGGGACAGAAATATATAAAAAGGGATTCCCTGCTGATGGGAAAGTAATCATCTAGTTGGAGAGAAAAGACTAATATTTTTTGGGTTTGGTGTCAAATGCATGCTCTAAACCAAGAATTTCAGAATGAAGCCTTCCTAGCAAAAGTGGTATTTCAACTGCTTCTAGAAGGATAGGTATAAATTCTGAGAGATTTAAAGTCAGGGAGGAAAAGATCTTCCAAAGTAGGAAAAGGGCATGAAAAAAGGCATAGGTGCATTTAGGGAATGGAAGTAAAGTGAAACTGAAAAAGATTTATGTATATTGGGGCTAGACCATGGAATGTCTTGAATGCCAGGTTAGGGAATAGAAAGAGCTGCTTAAAGTTTTTGATCAGTAAGAAAGGCATAATTAAAGCAGTACTTTAAAAAAGTTTATCGGACAACAGCTTTCAGGATTAACTAGATCAATCAATAAAAAAGTATTTATTAAGTATCTCCACAGCACTAGAGGTACAGAGATAAAAAAAGAAATTATGCCTGCCCTCAAGGAGCTTACATTCTACCAGGGAAACAACATATACACGTGTAAGTATATACAGAATATAATGAAAATAAATACAAAAAAGAAAAAACAGCTCAGTTGATAAGGAAAAACCTAAAGTAGGAGAAAGTATACGAGCTGAGTTTTGGAGGAAACTAGGATGTTTTAAATTTTTAATTTTTTTCAAGTAACATAAATCTTTCCCAACTTCCTTCCTCCCCACTTCCTCCAAGAAAGAAAAGAAAGAGTAAAACAAAATCCTGGTAATAAATATGCATAGTTAAGCAAAACAAATTTCCACATTGGCTATGCCTAAAAAAAGTCTAAATCTTCACTGTACCCTAAGTGTATCACTTCTATGTCAGGAAGTAGGTAGCATGGGAAACCAGAGTTCTATGAGGTGGATTAGGGAGAAATCTGAAGGCTAGGAAACCAGCAAAATTCTTGAGGGTAGAGATCCCTACAAACTTTTTTTGTATCCCTCAAAGCTTCTAGTTTCTATGTTAGGAACAGGCACTCAATAAATATTTGCTGACTTGATTAATTGGTTTCCAGTAGAGTCCATTTCTGGGCCACAAGTCTTTCCAAGATAGTAAGATCTGCCAAGGCTCACACAGTATAAAACCCAAAGTCACCTTCACATCTCAATAAGGTATCAGTAGCTTATCCCGCTAAATCTAAAAAGTATCTTTAGTAGATTGGCTACCAGATGTTAAATTTTTTCAACCACAGCAACTCATTAAGACCTGCTACAGAGGTGTTCATGGCAGAGGTGCAGCCTATTGGAGCAGAGTACATATTCACATCAATGAAATAATGGATCCTGACAAATTATACCTCTTTTAACCAATGTTGAAATACAAGGGAACTACTACTTGTAAAGTGAAGTAAAATTCGGTCATAAAGAATGAACACATTTTATACTTTTATAATTACAGATACTGCCACTCCAGTCCTTTTTTGGTAACTATTCACTATCAAAACCGAAAACAACTAAATTTTGCTTTGGTCACAGAATCCATAGATTAAGAGTTAGAAGGGGCCCTAGTCTAAGTCCCTCATTTTAAAGATGAGGAACTGAGTCCCAGGTAGTAAGGAGGCAAAACACCGTCCTTTGAATCCAAATGCCACACTCTTTCCACTATACCAGGCTGCTTCCAATTGAGGCAAATCTGTTGGTGCAAAGAAAATAAGCATTCTAGGCTTCTTGTGATTTCTTTGGATTAGTTTTTCCAAATGCCAACAAAATGGTACTACATAGACAGGATGTCTTCAAGTCAATGAATGCTCACTTTAAGCATCCTAAGAAAGGCAGAATTCCTGGACAATATCTCACATACACACCTTTTATTCTTTTAATTACCAAGCAAAATGCATTTAATAATTCCAAATTTAAATCTTTGTATTTACTTTTTAACATGAGGATCTTTGATGTTCAGTGAGAACCTATATTGAGAGATGGTGAGATGCTGCCCTGCACTTCATTCCACCCTGCTTTCCTTCACTCTCAACTCCTCCCTACAACTTTCCCTATCATGGATGCCTTTGAGAATGAGATAAGTTTTTCTCTCTCAAACCTTTCCTGGTAGAGCAAAGGAGAGGGTCTGGAT